TGAAAAACATGGTACAATCCAACAATCTGTAATGGACTACAATCCCCATTTTGTTAGGGTCACGTGGAAAAAAACTCTTTTACTCTAGACGATATTTTATGAAAAGATTGGAACCGTTCCGAAGACGGTGACAGCGTAAAAAGTCGCGTCACGCTGCTACAAGATCGTGGAATCACGCGTTTTGAGACGGAATAAAAACTGTGAAGACTGGACAATAGGGAAACCGGGAGATTGGAGGCATTGGACACAGCTGTCGGACAAAGGAGCTTCTTCTTCTCCGTGGAAGAGAGAGGCAAAGGGCGCGGGGACGTGGTCCATATTTTTCAACTTCTTACGGTTCATGGTTCATTGGTTCAAAAGAAAAAAGTTTTTGACTATACGGAGTAATCCATTGTGACGATTTTTGTTAACATCTCAGACTGCTACTATATATAGTACCCTATAGCAGTATAGCACAGAGGGAAATGCGTAAAGAGGGATGTAGTATATATTTGAAGTTTGCCAAGAATAAGATTCGTCCTTTGGACATAATTGCAATTTAAGTTTCAAATGAAATGGGTTAAGCTTGAAATAAGTCTTGAAGGAGGAGTGTAAAACGTTACTGTTTTTAGAAGGGAGCTACATTTGAAATAGGACATAAGGCTCAAATACATTTTCTGTTGGAACCTACAGTAGGCTACGCATGAAATATGCCCAGGAGGAAACTTAAGCTGTAGGGACCTGGGACCTGGACGGATTTAGTATGAAATGCATCCTGAAGGGAAGGACGTAGACTAGTATTTTTGGGCCTTTTGGATTTAGTACGAAAATATGCCCGAGAGAAGGACGTAGTATTGTTGAACTTTTACTCCTTAAAATTAAAGGGGGTTGTTTGAAATTGATTAGTATAGGGACTAATAGATTTGCTATTGAAGCTTAAAAGGGTTGGCGGATTAAAGTATGGGGTCCTGCAGATACACTTATTTTTGGAGCCTAGAAAAAAGGGGTTGTGGGAAAAAGTGTAAAAACCGCGGGGCTGCTAATATAAACCACCATTGGCGAATAAAATCAAATAAATTGACAGGGGTCGTTTGGTATTGATCCTTTGCTGATGGTGAAAAAATCGCACGAAGGTTTACTAATCGAATCGATAGTTTCAATCGATATTAGCATAGCCCAGTTAAGAAACTGTACCCCATTGTCCTACTTCTAGATATTGATTTAATGATTTATATAAAAAGAGTATTCTGTTACCTTACAATATTTTCCGAGGTCTCGTTGAATCGGTTGAAACTGCTTGTTTCGCGGTGACTGCTACATAATCAGGTGCATCCTCTGCTACGGTTCGTCATACACTTTAAAATTGAAACACAAAACACACGTTAACAGGACACTTTTAGAAATATCGGTAGCTATTTGTGTATTAAGGGCACAAAGTAAGTCGAGAACTTTAGATGGCCGCTCGAAGCTTTGACTGTTTACTTGTAATACACAACAGATTTTTCCTACCACCATTATTAACTTATAATAACACACAGATTAGCTTTTGGATGTAGGCTATAAAATGTCATTTACGTTTGCTTTTTTAAGGTTATGTCATTTGCTTACCGGTTGTTGACTAACGTACCTGATACGCGACTGTGATTGGTGTAACTACTGTGTAATCAGCTGATTAGCGAGCGGCAATGAGCTATTATACTCGTACTGTTTACAGGTGTATAATAGTAATGTGATAATTTATCATAATTCATTCATGGGTATTGATAATCGATCTCTATTATTACAGCGATGGTATTCATAAACGAATTTAACTTTGACTAGAGCGTTGATTGATTTTGTCCTTCTGTTCATTCCTTGTTTTATGTATTTCAACCTAAGCTACAGATTTCTGTAAATATTTAAATGATTTATCCAATTTTTGGCAAGACTTGTTGATGAACATGAGTGCTTGCTTCCTGACATTGTTTTGATAAATGTTTTACTTATTGTTCTCATATTTGAACAGATTGTAAAATAAATTCTGATAAAAAAAATTAATTGTATTTAGATGACTGTATGTAACAAATGTTCTGTCTCTCATCCTCATGCTCAGAGTACTAAAAATATTTGAATGTTTGATGTCTTTTCAAGTAGGTTTTCATTTGTATTGATCAGCTTGTGGGCTTCACTCACCTTAATTTGTTAATCCAGGACTCGTCAAATGTAACACAACGAAGACACAAACACACATACACGCACAATAAAAATCGTCCTTGGATTAATTAATTAATAATCAGTCGTGGTTAGGCGTTCGGCTCGCGTACGCGAGAGAAACAAAGTTTTAATTCCCTGAGGAAGCGGGACGTTATCTTGGTCCCGCGAAACGTCGGAGTAAATTAATCCAAGGACGATTTTTATTGTGCGTGTATGTGTGTTTGTGTCTTCGTTGTGTTACATTTGACGAGTCCTGGATTAACAAATTAAGGTGAGTGAAGCCCACAAGCTGATCAATACAGTATAAAAACCTCGCCTAAAAAACATGTCTTTCAAAAATAGGTTTTCATTTGTATACTTTTAAAGATTGTGATTATTTTTACTAAAAGAATACTGCATTGTGCCAACCACAACAGACGGTTTTATAACCATTGTTGATTTATGCTTTTATTTGATGTTGTCAATGTTTTGTGAAAAATAAAGCGTGTTTTTCTTCTTCTTCTTCTTCTTCTTCTAATGTGATCATTTCCATGCAGTGGATTGGAAAACATACTTTACATTAATTAGATCTACGTGGCGGCGAGTGCACGCGTTTGGTCACCGCACGAATACTAGAAAAATACTTTTTGTTAACTGTGTAAGTGTCCTGTCAACGTGTGTTTTGTGTTTAATTTTTAAGTGTAGTTAATTTAACATACTTATTATTAATCCTAGAAGAGGATGAACCTGATGATGTTGCAGTTGCCACGAAACATGCAGTTTTAACAGACACCCAAGGTAGCGTCTGGTTTTAACAGAACACAGTAGGACTAGTAGGAGTACAATATTTTAACAGAATACTGTACTCCTATTTAGTCTATAGAAGCGTAATTCCTGGGGGTTTTAAGCTGTAAACTGAAAATCTAATCAAAGTGAAGAAAATGCAGTTACTGAAGTAATTTATACTGTAATTTTACCGACCCATTCTGCTCATGAATGATGAAGCTAGGTACATTTTGGGAGTGTAGCTTCACATACCTAGACACCCCACCTCGCGGACCCTAATGATGACAAATGCTCGCCAGGTTTTATTTTTATTCTTCTCGCTGATGAGGCGGCGGGTGTTAATCCGTGACGTCATCTGTCCGTCACGGTTGCTCGGTTAATCCTCGTCCTGTCTGTTCCAGGTTCCAGGACAACCGTGAACGTGGCGATTACACAGATTGTACAAAAAGTGTTCCTCACATTCCCCAACCCGTGCAACCTCAAGAATTGCGATATAAGTGGTGGATTGGGATTATTAATATATGCATGTTTCATGAGTATTTTTTGTTTTTTTTTTTTGTTTTAGATTAGCCGCAAGAGAATTGAGTTCATTGAATATCTTTTAAACCCGTATTCTATGTCATTCGGTCTATAGCAGGTGTTTTCGTTCTGGAAAATTGTGAGTAGTTCCTCACAATGATGGTGCAGAATCAGCAATCAGAGCTACTGAGCTAAAAAATATATAAGCTGAATGTGGCGAGGATCTGAATTAAAGAACGAGTGTAAAATGAACAATGAAAACTCTCTGTGACTGATCAAGTTAAGTTAGTTGTGATTATTTAGCAGTATATATTTAATTTTTAAACTGGAAGTTTGTGGATATTATCAGAATCAGATTGCAGTTAAAATTTCAAACTCAGATGCAGTGATTAGTGAAGATGGTCCTAAGATAAAAATAAATGGCATCAGCAATCTCGTACATACTTTCTCTCATTAGATTTTAAAAACCCCTTACAATGGGTAAGCAGAGGGAGCAACTATGATATTTTATTGGTAAAATCACAAAAACTGCAATAACTTTTGAATCACATGTATTTTAATCATTGAGGGTTGTTTCGTTTTGTTTAAAGTTGAAAGGATCAAAACATAGTTTTTAAACACAAACTTTTATCAGTGCAGTTCAACTTTGTACTGTACCGGCTCACCCCTTGCTTTGCTGGATACGTTCCACGCACAGATCTGTAGTCTATGTGGACGGGCAAATGCAGGGTTAAAAGAGGCCCGCCAACCTCTTAAAAAAAAAAAAAAAAAATTGTTTGAGCAGTTTTTTGAGAAAATCCAATTTTCCCGTTACTTTATGGGAAATCACCATGAAAAATCTAAAATTAAAAAAAAATCAGGGGTGTTTTGGAAAGTATTGATTTTAAATATAGTAATTGGTGTAGTCAGTTTTAACGACTTCTGATGACAAATTCTGAGCTTCTCAGCAAATTTGATGAATTATGAATGGTCTTCCGCTTTTGCAGGCCGCGTTTGCAGGGACATCATCTTTATCTCCTGCGACGAAATTGTGGATATCTTCTGCGATTGTGGGGGAATTGTGATTGCCTCCTATATTCATGGTGATTTAGTGAACCTTTGGCGATCGCGGAAACATAATATTCTCCTGCAATGGTGGCGAAATCAACACAAAACAAAATTCTGTGGGTCCCCTGCGGTCAAGGTGAAATCGTGGACATCTTTTGAAATAAAAGACATGAAAATATTTAATGATATGAAGTTTTTGATTGCACAATCTTCACAGACACTTTCGGTTATTTTACCTCTGAAATCTAAATGATTAACCGTGGAATCAATTTTCAAAAGAAACTAACTGACTTTGAGGCACCAAGTGAGAACCCGGTGACCACCGTGAGGATAATATTGCCCTAATATCCACGCAAAACTCAAGCTCGAAAATGTTGACAAAAATAATACTTTCTCCATACAATGTATATAGGGGGAGAAAGTAAAAACAATGAAACCATAGCTAAATCAATACAATCTATGAGGATCAAAGGTTGGGGAATTTCAAAACACGATCGTTTGATTAACAACAATAATATTTAATTACGTTTATTTACAATAACAAAACCATACTAGAGCATTGCACTGAAAAATCTCACTTAACTTTTGTGTCTTTCAACATTTTGACATGGAAGTGCTACAAAATAGCTTGGCTTGGACAGTTGATTGATTATAATCCACACTATAGAAATATTGGTATCCAAATATTTTGGTGGAATGGTTAAATGAGCAAATCAAACTGCTAGACAAATGTTAATCCTTAAAGAAAGTCGAGAACTGAAATGAGCAATATACTTAATCTAACACGTCCTTTAAAATCAAACCGAATATGAGCAGGAGAAAATTTATAACATTTTGATCTTGAAAAGGAACTTTAAAAGTGATGAATATAAATAGACACAATAGACACTTAAATTTGCCTAAAAAGCTAAAACAACAACTGATATAGACATCGATGAATTCCACACACACAAATTTTCAATTAAATGTAAGTAAACTCTAGGTAATTACAACACAAAATACAATTATTCCCTAACAAATAAATTAATGTTTTAAACTATGTTTTAGGATGTACGTTTAAAAGAGCCTAAAAAATAGTGTAAAATGGACCATCTTAAAATGTCAATTCACAATTAAACTAAATTTTAGGTTAAAGACAAGTTCTTTCTAAACCCTCGCCCTCTACTTAGAACAAATTTTTAAGGTTTTATACAAATTTGTATGTAAACATAAAAATTAAATTGTAAATAGAAAAAAATTAAGATTTATAAAATTTCATACAATTTTAGAAAATAACTTATAAGTAATTGTTTACTATTTGAAGTTTAGATTTCAAGTTTTCTTTTTAGGAAAACATTACCTTTTAGACTTGCAGAATATTATTGAAGGTATGTATAGCAGGCGATGAACTAAAATAATTTCATTAAGAGACCAACATTTTTTTTTATAATTTACAAAAAAAAAATTAAAATAGTTTGTAAAACCCTTAAAGATATCAATATTTACAGCATCCCATTGGGTATTTAGTCATAATGTATCACGTAATCATTATTTGACACAGAAAGATTGAACTTTTGGAAAAAAAATTATTTACTTAGTAAAAAGAGTTTCATCAGATGAAAGAAAAAAATAACAAATACCACATAACTATAGGTATAATAATAATGGACCAATTTAATCAGCTACATGTTAAGAAATATTAATGTACTCAACCGACAATAATGCTACAATTTTTTTCTTAGCTAGAATTTAAAATAAAAATATCATTCCACCGACTAAGCCAAAGTACATTAGCAGCCATTTGCAAATAATGCTAGTAAAACACATACTATTAAAAAAAAAATTATTTACGATTAAACTCTTACAAATTTCAACTATATAAATAAAATTAGTGTTAAAATAAAGTACAACTCTAATCCTTCCCGAAGAAGCAAATTAAGAAATCAACCAAGTAAATCTCTGTTAAAATAATTTGTACTACAAAAATACAACCTTTTTTCTAACGTTAAAGGTTGCTAAAAGGATTAGATCAAAATAAATCTAAATCTATCGCTTGTTAATGGTTAATCTCAAATAAAAAAATATTTTAGTGGTGTTAATTATACATATTGTTATCCTATATTTCAATCCTTAACTATTAAAGCACTTGCAGTTGAATTTTGCGCCGTTTTATGTCTGATAACTGTTTATTTTAAACAAATTTGTCAGTTTAATGTTTATATTTCCTTATTGATAAACAAAAGGTCTATGTAAAATTTAACTACGTTAAATAAAATTTGAAAGCAGCCTACCAGGTAAATTCAAAGTTTGTTTGCAATTGCAAACATTGTTAATTGTTATTAGTTTTCCAATAGGCCTACTTGGAATAAAATTTGACAATAATTTAAATTAAATAAAAAAAAAACTCCTAGAAGTTTTAAACAGCTATCAGACAACACAAGTAATATTCTCCTGCTATCACAAATTTGTTATCTAAGACGGTTCAGGTCAAAGGAGACGAGACTGATCTTAAGTCTCAGCGGGTTGAGCGGCCGCGGGAAGCTGTTGAGGGACGAAATTTGTTACTTCTTGGTAGACTAGTTCTGAAAATAAAACTCATTAGGTTAACATCTTCAGTGAAGTTTTGGAAAATTCAAAGTCATGTGCTAATTTTGAGGAGTAATTCTAAACCAAATGAAAAATGTTGCTGAATTAAAAAGGAGAATAAAAAACAAAGTGCATTTAAAGTGAAAACTAACCTGTTTTGACCTCTATAATTACTCAAAAATATACAAAGAAATACATGGATGACAGAAATATAATAAAGGTTTTTACAGAAAGTAATACAGTAGACTCTCGCTCATGTGGCGGACGTCTGGTCGATATTACCAAAAATCCGAACTATCGAGAGTTGAGCAGATACAGTACTGTATATACCCTTTTTTTTCAATTTTGTTCCAGGTCCACAGTATTGATAGCTGGGCAAATGCAGTTTCCCCGGTAATAAATCGATTGTTGGTAGAGAAATATCTTTTTATTTAATCATAAATCACTTATTACTGTACTGTAATAATAAACCATATTCCACAGTTTCAATATGATGTTTGTCTTATTATAACCTATAATTTTTACTGCCATGTTATCCGAGTTTTTGATTATTCGAGGTAGTCTCGGTCCCGTTTAGCAGATAATCGGACTTCTACTGTACTGTGCTACTAAAAAAAAAATCACGATTGTCAATCCGGACTAGCGGGAGTCCAGACAAGGCCGATCCGGATGAGCGAGAGTCTACTGTATACAATTCACATTCAGGAAAAGAGCCATGGGCGACAGCCATGTAAAATCTGTTGCTATGAGAGACCTGTACACAGTTTGTGCAGAACCCAGGTAAGAATATAACAAAATGTTGTATAGAAACTTTAAAAAATTGTGTGGCAACTTATGTATTAAACATGCAAAGTAAAACATATAACGCTTGCTTGAAAGAAATTAGTACTATCTTTATATAGACATTCCATCCCCATATTAAAGTTGTCATTCACTTTTGAATCAAAATTAACATAGTGGAATCCAGCCAACAACAGAGTGTGCTATTGTAAATTTAAGATTTTTTGCCAAATAAGCCAACTTTTAATCAAGAAATCACAGCTTAACCAATGGCATCTATTATGTCACATCAACTATCTCACTAATAAAAACTAAAGCGGAAAATTAAATTTTAGACTGCAGTGAATTCTGATAAAGGCTCATTCAACTAAGTTCTTTTGAGTAGAGAACAAAAACACTCCAGTTGGTCCATATGGACTGGGATGTCTACTTCAGTATCTTGAAGTCAATGGTACTATATTGGTTAGGTACTGAAAGTACTGGTACCGAGAATCAATTTTTGTCAGCGACCTGTACCAGTACTGACGTAGAAGAGAAACCGGCAAAGGAATAGATACAGTAGAACTCTATAGCAAGTCTCACATGGGAATTATCAATGTTACACTTCTTATTGAGTTTTGCAATAATGATGACTAGGATAACAAAATCAATGGTATTTGGAAATAACATTTTCAAGGGTGGGTTGTTATTGTTCTATTGTATCAATAGTAGTTTGTACCTCAAACACAATCTGTGACTTACCTTTCCACTTCTCCACGGGTAACTCCATGTCCTCAAAGCTCTGGTCGTATGGCGGACTGATAGGTTCGTCACTGGGGTCTGCGTACTGCGCGAGATACTTGTGTGCCAGAGCCTGCTCTGCGGTGATGCGCTTCTCTGCGTCCAACTCCAGCATCTTCTCCAGCAGATCGATAGCTGCGACAGAAATTGCATAAGGACATTTCCAAAAGAACAAATCCTTACAAGACTGTTGGCAAGACAGGGATAAATGCTGTAGAGAACAGGCAATAAGGACTGGGCTACTTTATTGGGCAAGAGCAGGCTTACGTTCAGTAAACGAGTCGTCTTGATAGCTAACACATTTACAAACAAAATTAAGATATATCTCGGCCATTTACCTATTTATCAATCACAAAGAAAGGAAGATTGTAATGTGGTGTAGGATGCAGTAGTTTGCAACACACAGTCACAGCAAAAATATGTTTTTTTTTATTGACATACACACAAGATTTAAAATGAAACTATTCAAAGCGAACATCTCACCTTCAGGATTAGCACCTCGGAACACAACGTTGAAGTCTTTCCTTGCAAGGGGAGGCAGCGACTGGATATAATTTCTGGCCTGGAAAAAAATATCTTTTACTTTTGTTATAAAACCTGGTTTATAAGAATAAGAAAAGCGTGTAAAAACTTCAAAACTTTAAGGAAAGTGTGTAAGGAATGTTGTAAATGAGTTAGTATTATGTGTCCATAATTCTGTACCAATTTTTCCACTACAAATTTTAATTTTTAAGTTTATAGTTGTAATTTTTTTATTAATATCTTAACATTATTCTAAAATGCAGTAGAGTTCTGCTATTCCATCGCCAATGCTTTCTGGGATTTTTTTGGAAATAAACAAAGGTGGAAATAAAGGTCTTGTGAATGATTAACTTCATTTAACACTTAATTTTAGGATATCAATTAAGAAATGTAAGGTAGTCGCAAGGTATTAATAAAAAAACTTGTTTCATATCCTACCAATGTAAAAATTGTTGTCCAAAACAGTTAATATTCTATTAATGGCAACAATTGGTTTAGTAACTACCTAAAAAGTCCTAAGCTATGTATTTAAATAAAACAGAAAATAATTTTAAATGTCAACAATCTAGACAAATATATTTTTGATTGATAAACAAACTAAAGAATAAACTGTACAGCTACATAAGCAAAACTACCTAAATAAAAATATCATACATCCTTGTTCATTAACCCATTGGCCTACGCATATTATAGGCCCTGTTGAACCCTTGGAAATCCTATTAATTTCTAGGATTTTGCAGGCTTTTGCATTAACACTTATATCTCTCTTATTTTGCATCAGAATTCTTTCAAACTTTGGAAACATGTCAAGCTAATATCAAAATATAAAAATTAGATTTTTTTAAAATTTTTTTTAAAAATTTAATTATAATTAATTAATTAATTAATTAATTAGTAATTAAATCATCAATTTATTTTTTTTTATTTTTTTTTATTTTTTTATCATTTAGTATTTAGTTACAAATAAGAATTTTTTTTGTTATAATTTTACATAAGATAAATAAGTCCTCAAAAAATTAAATAGTAACAAGACGTTATGGACTTAGCGCAGTCTGTAACTTAGGCTTCGGTTAGGCCTACCTAGACACCACATAGAAAAGATCACCTTAGAAGTTTACCATTTCAAAATAAGGATACTTATAATAATAGGCTAAATGCGGGCCTGGTAAAATAATAAATATAATAAAAATAATAAATGGAAAACACGTACCTTTAAAATATTATCCAATATGTAGGCCTTCACTTCATAAATTTCATGTAAGTTAGGTCTCTTCACACTTCACAAACAATATACCTAACTAAATTTCTTTTGACTGGGCATGATTGCTTTTTACAACTACACTATATACACTATTTACACTTGTCCCTCAACTCTTAGTAGTTCACTAAGGTGTGGTATGCCTCAAAGCAGCCGTCGATGTGAAGCGGCACCACACACTTGCTGCACTGGATCCTCACTTCTCTTCTGAGCCCTTTTGAGGAACATACAAGGCACCTTTTAGTTGGCATCGGTTTGGAAGGTGTAGCTGGTATGGTCATTGGGAAATGAAGTCGTCCCTGGAGTCGCATTGGGTTACTTGTCGATGGTCTTCCAGGTGATGTCCTCGGTCGTAGCCGGATTGATTGAGTGATTTGTTCAGCCAGATTTGTTTTGTACTCAGAGAAGTGCTGCTTACTTTTGCCAGATAGCTTTTTGTAAACTACAAAAGAGTTGAACATAGAAACCTCAAAAAGGTAGAAAAAAATCTTCACATAACCCTTCACATACCTTCTCATCACTGGGTTGTAAGACAATACTTGGTCCTGGCGGTCAACTGCAAGCATGCCCTGATTGTATTCAATAATCTGCTTAGGTTTCATGATTGTAGTAGCAGGTTTGTCCCTTGTAGGCCTTGACATTTTCCCTGTTGACGTAAAGTCGATGTCAGAATGTTTGGAGCTAATCGTGTTCACAGCCTTCCGGTCCATCCACCTAACCACAAGGAGACCTTCCGCACTTCTACGCTGTGCTTCTCCTTTTTCCAAGGGCTCCTTCATATCACCTGGCATATTCTTTCTATTGGGTCTCACGGTACCAATTGCGTATGTGTTCCGTTCAAGCAGGTTCACAAACAATCTTGGTGATGAATACCAATTATCGATATGCATTATGTAGCCTTTATCTAAAAACGGCTCTGTGAGTTGCAAAACTATCTGTTCACTAACTAGTTGACCCTTGGGAAGACTCTTTTTGCCCGTATAAATTTCAAAGGCAGAGCAATAGCCTGTTGATGACTCACATAGTTTGTAAATTTTTATACCAAACCTAGCCCTCTTACTTCTGTTGAATTGTATGTAAGAGAGTCTGCCTCTGAATTTCATCAAACTCTCGTCTACAGAGATATCTCTGTCCGGGGTGTAGTTTTGTAAAAACTTGTTTGACATGTAGTCAATTACAGGTCTGATTTTTTTCAGTTTATCCGTAGGCCGACTAGTTGCTTCATTTGAAAAATGAATAAAACGCATGATCATTTGAAATCTTCGAAACGGCATTATTTCAGAAAATATCTGAGTTTCAATTACTTTCCTTTTGCTCCAATAAGACTGCAAAGTTGGCTTTTGTACCACACTCATTAGAATAAATAAGGAAAAAAATGCCTTTATTTCATAAGTCTCACAGTCAAACCAATTAGAATCATCTTTTAGTTTTTTCCGGTTTGGATCTGCAAAACATTTTGCAGCATAATTATTTGTCTCTATGGCAATCCGCTCAAAGAAATCATCGCCTAGATACTCAGAAAAAACATCTAATTCGGAATCTAGGAGCTGCGATTGTGCAATATTTACTCCTACTTTGTCACCGTAAAATACAATATTTTTTGGCTCATTGGGAGCATCTTCCCACGCCATAGGCTCCTCTAAAAAACCAATTTCTCCACTTACCACCTTTTCAATAATTTCCTCAATAGAGTCCATTGGTATATTGCCATCTCCACGAACAACATTTTCAATGGTTTCAAGAACCAAATCCACCGGTAGATCGTCAGGTTCGTCAACAGCCTCTTCGTTTTCGTCAGATTCCGTCTCACTATCGTTCTCACTTTCATTCTCACTTTCAAACATTCGTTCATTGACATCTTCATTCGTTTCACTATCAATTTCACTCAACAAATAACTATCATCATCAATAAAACGATCTATTTCACTCGAACGTAAACAATCCCGACCCGCCATTCTGTAAACAAACACAGCAGAAAGCTGAGAGCAACAGGTTGCCAAGAAATCAATATTTACTCGCACTAAAAACAGGCCTACCAACCCGAAAACTGAAATACTAATTCATTTCAACTAAAAACAGGCCGTGGTAAAGCAGTTTGCCTGATTAGTGCTGCTATCTAGCATTGAAACGGACAACTACTTGGTGCGCGGTCGCTACTCGTCATTGTATTACTAGGGACCGCGGCGTCACGGCGGTTAGCGACCGTCGAAGTAGGCCAATGGGTTAAAAACACATAGGCAAAAATTTAAACCTCAATAGAAAGCATAAATTTAAAAAAACAAAACACATCATAAAAAATACTAAACTATTAATGGTTAATATCCACTACCGCTTTGCAATCAGTAGTTAGATTTTTTTTTATAAAGTACACAACTAAATTATATTACAATTAATTAATAATTGACTCGTAATCGTAATACCTCCTCACTGGTTATTTTAGCCACCGTATCCGGGCGAGGCGTACCACACAGCACTAGAACTCTGGTTAAATGGTCAACATCTACTTGTGTTAAGGCTCAACTCACTCTGCGTTATGTAGCCACCAAGCTCAATTATACAATTTATTTAGTTTATTCTGAGTATTATTATTGTATGGCTTTTAGTGGGTTTTTTATGAATTAGGCATATTTATTGAATAGTTGACACTCCTTTGCACTTTTACTACTGTATTCACATTATTTTTTATACTATAATTTTTTGTGTCCATATTGTCAAACAAAAAAATAACTAACAAAACACTTAGTAAACACACATTGGCGACTAGCAAGCAGTTGGAAAAACACCAAATGAATTTCACAAATGTTGTGAAATTTATTAAAAACACAAAAAAGCAAATGTTTAAACAGTAAAATGGATCCCATTTACGTGCATTGCTGGTGAGTCACAGACTAAACACATAACATTGGTACATAAGCCTAAGAGTGTGTAAAGAAATTACGTATTTATAGGATTAACTGAACATACCGTAAGTTTAAAATAATTCTGTTTGTTCTGGGAATGAAGTCTTTTAAGAGAAACTTACTTTGTGCTTGTAGTAAACGTGAATAACTAACTTCATCCTTAAAACTCAGTACAGTAGACTCCCTCTTATCCGGACACCTTTTAACCGGTCTACACTCGGCGGTAATGTCATCTATTTAACCGGACTATTTTTATCAGCACATCGGTTTAACTGGACTAGATCGACAGGAAGTGGGCGGTACTGAAACGACCGTTCTCGTGGTAAAGATTTGAGACCAGTGATTACGTGTCTAAATACAATGCTCTCATAAATTTAGCTAAGTCAAATACGCATTCATATGGTCCGTTTTTACGAGTTTTTGGGGAGGTTGGTTTAACCGGAAAACCCGTTATCCGGACTGGCCTCGGTCCCGAGGAGCCCGGATAAGAGGGAGTCTACTGTATACGAGACTCTCTCTCGTTCAGACACCGTTAAACTTAAAAACTGAGCTATAGGAATTTATAAGAAAATGTATGGATGAAACCACACATTATTTGTGCAGTACCACATTACTAATATGCCTACTTGACAAAAGGAAAACTAAATCAAGACGCAGAGGACCACTAGATAAACATTTCTTGTTGTAACCTTCATTTACAAGACTAAATGAAAATGTGTGAGTCATTTGCCCCAACAAATTAACCTTCTAAACTGCAAAGCACTGATGCTATCCGGGCAAAGCACTGATGCTAACGGCATTAAGCACTGACGCCAACCGTTTAAAGCATGGCCGATAAGCGTAAGCGTGAGTCAATCAACTTACCGACTCACTGGAGATTCTCGCCATGAACTCAGCGTTAGGTGTGCCCAAGATCTCCATGATAAGGTTCAGTTGGTGGATATCTATCAGCTAAGGATACAGACAGACACAAGCCCAGGTCTCCAAGCTGCTCCCAAGCGAGCAAATCTACTGTCGAGGAAACAACTACATGCATACGAGTTTAGAGTATTTCCGAGATGGATCATCAAATTTTGATAAAATAAAAAAGTTGATGAAATTTGATGAAATAAAAATAAAAAAGCTAGTTTGAATACATTTGACATGTAATAAAATAATTTTCAGTTAGCCAGAAAAAGTATAAAGACTCTAAAAAGGACAGGTTTTAAGAAGTCTTCACAAACATTGAAGTCTAAAGAAAACCCCAAACCAATAGTTCTGAAATTGTTAGAGCTTACTTGTAGGTTTACATTGTTGGTTACATTGTTTTTGCTGCTTTTAATTTTTTTACTGTATGCTAAAATCGTTATTAAGACGCTGTAAACTTTATTCAAAATTTCAACCAGTTTGTCGTGACTCAAGAAATAATTAATATATGTTAGATTTATAATCTGAGGAGATACATTTTTTATGCCTGTATTTTTTAGGGTCTTTCACCACAGCAAAAATTAAGACAATAAGATGATCAATCCCAGAGATATTTAAGTTCAAACTCGGAAAAATTTCCTCAACAGTAGCATAACACTATTCTAATTAGCAATGTGATCAGCTAGTGTAGGGCTACCATTTAATGGTTTTTTTAAATGGAGAATTCATGAGATTTTTTTACCGTACATGCAAGCTAGTCATACAAATATGCCCTTGCCAGTCTGTAAAAGTTATACAACTTCTGAAACTAAGAACCATTTTGTGCCACGAACCCAATTATAACATCATATCTTTCGGTTCATGTCTGTGTTAATGATTGTAACAAGTATAAGAACTGAGAGTAAAGGCTGACAAAATGTAGTTATTCCTAGTTTGTCGTCAAATTTCTATTTTAAAAAATTGGTGTAGACCTAATAAAAATGTTTTGAAAAGGAACTTTGTACACATAATGGCTTTTGGTCAATGAGTGGACCACTTTCAACCCGACCCGATAGTTTTATTTATATATTTGTAAAGTTCCATATATTTAAAAACAATTTCCAGTGCGAAAGCCAAAAATTTAGAGCGAAATTATCAGTGAATGTACAGAAATAATAAAAAACCAACGGATAAAATATAAAAATAATTTCCTTGTTAGACAAATATGTGAATCGAAACAGATTGATTATACACAAGACAATTACACAGATATCAATAATAGGTACACAACTTCTCATGCAAAAACCACAAAACAAATAAAATCCCGTAGGCAATGATTTTTTGCATGCCACGGATATGAAAGTGATTTTATGTTGTCATTAATTGATTTTTTGTAGTATGTACTTATTTGTAGCTACAAAATTAAAAATAAATAAGCAAAATCTTATTGTGAACATTTTTTTATACTAATCACGAAAAGGAATTAAATTCATCAGCTCTATTTTGGCTTCTGTTAACAACATTCAATACTGAATCATCAAATTGTTCATTGTCTAATCTGGCATTACAGTAATTAGCATTTCCACAATAGTTTCCTTATCTAAAGTTATATTTGATAAACAGTATAATGTTGATAAATATTATTAATATTAACTAAATGCATTATTAATAACATGAAATTATTGTATTTCTGAAAGAAGTCTAAATAAAAAGGTTGATTAAAAGTTGACCATAACTATTAAAAAGAGTGTTTATGTTGAGGCCAAGTTTTTATGGCAAGACAAAACTGACTATTAAAGTTAATATAAAACCATAAAAAAATAATTGCAAAATTGTCATCATCTAAAATTAACTAAACTATCTAAAAGGTACAAGATCTGTTTTGGGTTCTTTGTTAATCAAACAAATGATGTATTTAAGAAATTAGACTAAACTTTCTAGGTATATTAAAAACAATCAATCAAATAGCAAATTTTAAAATATGCATTACTTTATAAAAATTAATTCCTATCACATTTATGTTACCAATAGGCCAGTTACCAGTATTTGTTTTACAATCAAACATTTTTAATTTTAATAGGTTTTGACAATGCTATCATGATTTTGGCCCTTCATATCTAAAACGATTTAATTTTGCCAATAACACGAAAAATATATTTAAAATTAAATATTTTTCAAAATTTCAAAATCATCACGGCATTATTGTTAGGTAGTTGAAAATGAATCCAATACACCACAAAAGGTCCCAAAACATAAAAATTACAATTTGTCCTAATATAGTACTCATTCAGACTTTGAAGATAAGTTATATACAGGGTGTTCATTTGAAAACTTTCCATATCTGTTGTGTGCAAAGGTAAGGCTTTTAACACTTGTTTGTTCTCATTTCCCCATAATTTGGACATGCCAAATCCAATAAAATTATTTTCAATTTCGAAAAATGCCCCTAAAGGGCCCAATTTGGGGGGTAGGGGTGCTTTTTGAGCAATTTTCAAATGTAAACATGGGTTGTGTGATACATCAATTTAAAGCTCTAATCACCCCGATCATTTTGGTGCAAAAAAAGTTTAATTATCTTTAACTGTATTTACAGGGTGGGTCAAAACGTTTTAAAAAAGGACTTTGAAGTTAAGTACCGTATTACCCTAACTACTGAACGGAACAGCGCCAAATTTCTTTCCAAGCTTATTCTTGAGCTACTCTTTAAGATAACTTGTAGTAAGGTCATTTTCCATGTTATTTTCTAATTTTAAAAAAAATCTCAAATTTTAAGAATATAAGAAAGCTGAAAACTCAAAATTCTTAAATAGCAAGGTATGACAAATTCCATACCACGTGAAAGGTCCTTTTTTAACAAACATTTTACGTATTTAAGTTTTCTTTCTATCTCTTACCGTTTAAAAATTGCAGTAGAAAAACATAATTTTCTATGGTAAAATTGTAACTAGTTTTCTAATAAAACAGCCAAAATTCGTCTCTAGACACATTAAGTGGTGCAATAACTGAAGGAAACAATTCATAATTATTTTTAGGCAGATAGGCAAACAAGTCATTACGTTTTACTTTGTGAAAAACAAGTTTTATAGCTGATGAGAAAAACCCAAGCGTGGGCCGCTTTCTGTAGTACCATTGACTAGTCAATGGTAGTACTAATTTCAAAAGTACCATTTCCTGTAGTACCTAATCAAATATGGTGTAAACTTAAAAAATAGACTTTATTTTTACTTATTGGTCACAACAAAAGTGTTCCAGGATAACTGCAAAGTTTTTAACAATAGATATCCAGGTATAACATTGAGTCATATGGCTGTAAATGATTTAGTTAGGAAGTTTTCTGAAACTGGCTCAGTTACCAATGAGAAAAGAACAGGATGAATTCTGACACACGTAAAAGTAGTCGATCAATTTGTTATGAATCCTACTACATCGTTGTACAAAGTGCAATGTGTTTTATTAGAAAACTAGTTATAATTTTACCATAGAAAATTATGTTTTTCCACTGCAATTTTTAAACGGAAAGAGATAGAAAGAAAACATAAATACGTAAAATGTTTGTTAAAAAGGGACCTTTCACGTGGTATGAAATTTGTTATACCTTGCTATTTAAGAATTTTTAGTTTTCAGATTTCTTTTATTCTTAAAATTTGAGATTTTTTTAAAATTAGATAATAAATTGGAAAATGCCCTTACTACAAGTTATCTTAAAGAGTAGCTCAAGAATAAGCTTGGAAAGAAATTTGGCGCTGTTCCGTTCAGTAGTTAGGGTAATACGGTACTTAACTTCAAAGTCCTTTTTTAAAACGTTTTGACCCACCCTGTAAATATGGTTAAAGATAATTAAACCTTTTTTGCACCAAAATGATCGGGGTGATTAGAGCTTTAAATTGATGTATCACACAACCCATGTTTACATTTCAAAATTTCTCAAAAAGCACCCCTACCCCCCAAATTGGGCCCTTTTGGGGCATTTTTCAAAATTGAAAATAATTTTATTGGATTTGGCATGTCCAAGTTAGGGGGAATTGAGAACAAACAAGTGTTAAAAGCCTTACCTTTGCACACAACAGATATGGAAAGTTTTCAAATGAACACCCTGTATATGCCTCCTATACTAGGCAAATCTTTTGTTGTTAAGTGTTTTAGTGTTGTAACCTTGTACTCAACTTTCCACAGGTAAGCAATCTGAACTCGCTTAAAAATCCTAATCAGTAACTAGGCTTTCTTTTATAAAAAGCTTAACTCCTAAAATCTGACTGGAAAGCGTAAATCATGTACACTTTGTGCGGTTTTGTGTGTGGTGCACAGGTCATGCAAAAGGAACACAACGATGGTACCTCAACCAGAGTGTTAGTAAGTTACAGTCTGAACTGATGTAAAGGATACGATCCGTCCCAGGGAAGAGGGTCCTTCCGGTCAAAAGCTCAGCCATGATACATCCGACCGACCAGATGTCCACTGGAACAAGCCCAACAATCAATAAAAAGTAAATCAAATTATAATTAGTAGGGATGGACGAGATTGAATTTTTAGTTCGAGACGAGACGAGACGAGATTTTTTATTTCTCATAAAATTTCGAGACGAGATCGAGATGGGATTTCCCTTCTCATACACAACGGGAAATGCACGTTCAAAATTTTTACCTGATTTTGTAACATTGTTAGATGACTGTTTAAATACAAAAATAATGATAATAGGCAACAATATTTACAATCTTTTATTAAAAAACATCAGCATAACATTTTTTTATTAATCACGCCTAACTTATTAAAAATGCCTACGATTAGGAAACATAGTGATATCAGTTAGGATAGAGTTCAACTTATCCTAAAATAAAATAAATCATAAAATAAAAGCAATATTAATTTTTATAAAATAGTTACCGTACTTGTTTTGACTTTTTATAGTAATAAAACATTCCTCACACTGCTTACACTTAACAAAACTTCTCAAATGTTATTAAAGTAATATTATTAAAATAATTAGAGTAATATTTACATTTATAGAATTAATTAAATAAGAACGCCTTCGCAAAGGAAACGCAACTACAACACGCTCCTGTATTGCGGGTATTGCATTTACTTTCTGCAGGCGTTTTTAATTTTTTTTTTTTTAATTCTCGTCTCAATTAAAATCTCGGCCAAAAAAAAATCTCGTCTCGTGTAACGAGATTTAAAATTTCGAGACTTGACCATCCCTAAAATTAGTTTGTTTAAGACATAACTAGTTGCGGACCTATTCCATAATAACATGAGTTACAATATTTCACAAGTTCACAATACAGTGAAACGGTCCATGAAAGGACTTAGCATGTTGGTGAACCTAGTCCTTAGAACTTACCATGTTGGTGAACGTAGTCCATAGAACTTACCATGTTGGTGAACCTAGTCTCCATAGAATGCATGTTGTGTTGGAAACCTAGTCCATCAAAGGACTTAGCATGATGATAAACCTAGTTCATGGAAGGACTTAGCATGGTGGTAAACCTAGTCCATGGAAGGACTTAGCATGATGGTAAACCTAGTCCATCAAAGGACTTAGCATGATGGTAAACCTAGTTCATGGAAGGACTTAGCATGATGGTAAACCTAGTCCATGGAAGGACTTAGCATGATGGTAAACCTAGTCCATCAAAGGACTTAGCATGATGGTAAACCTAGTTCATGGAAGGACTTAGCATGATGGTAATCCTAGTCCATGGAAGGACTTAGCATGATGGTAAACCTAGTCCATCAAAGGACTTAGCATGATGGTAAACCTAGTTCATGGAAGGACTTAGCATGATGGTAAACCTAGTCCATGGAAGGGCTTAGCATGATGGTAAACCTAGTCCATCAAAGGACTTAGCATGATGGTAAACCTAGTCCATCAAAGGACTTAGCATGATGGTAAACCTAGTCCATGGAAGGACTTAGCATGATGGTAAACCTAGTCCATGGAAGGACTTAGCATGATGGTAAACCTAGTCCATCAAAGGACTTAGCATGATGGTAAACCTAGTCCATGGAAGGACTTAGCATGATGGTAAACCTAGTTCATGGAAGGACTTAGCATGATGGTAAACCTAGTCCATGGAAGGACTTAGCATGATGGTAAACCTAGTCCATCAAAGGACTTAGCATGATGGTAAACCTAGTCCATGGAAGGACTTAGCATGATGGTAAACCTAGTCCATGGAAGGACTTAGCATGATGGTAAACCTAGTACATGGAAGGACTTAGCATGATGGTAAACCTAGTACATGGAAGGACTTAGTATGATGGTAAAGCTAGTCCATGGAAGGACTTAGCGTGATGGTGAACCTAGTCCATAGAATACTTAGCATGTTGGGGAGGTGGTGAACCTAGTCCATAAAAGGACTTAGCATGATGGTGAACCTAGTCCATAGAATACTTAGCATGTTGGTGAGGTGGTGAACCTAGTCCATAAAAGGACTTAGCATGTTGGTAAACCTAGTCCATAGTAGGCTTAGTATGCTGGTGGAACTAGTCCAGAAAGGACTAGAACTGTTGGGAACCTAGTCCATCAAAGGCTTAGTATGCTGGTGGAACTAGTACAGAAAGGACTAGAACTGTTGGGAACCTAGTTCATAAAAGGCTTAGCATTAGCATAACTGTTGGTAAACAATGTTCTACATCATGAAAGTTTATGAAGTATTTTACAGAAGGGCTAAGAGTCTATAAATCAGTTTAAAACAATCTTATTTCTCCTTTACCATCTTATTTCTCCTTTGTAAAAGTGGGCAAAAATCTTATAAACTTGTAATAGACCTACTTTTAGGCTGGATTGTGCCTTTCTATGGGGGCCAACGTTTCTTAAAGAAACCATTTGGCAATAAGTTCTAACAACCTTATGATACACAAGAAACGAAAAACGAGTGCCAGTTGGTGGTTTAGCTGAAAATCATAAAACTCTTGGTGTACTGAATGAATATGGACATAACTAAAGATGAGGGATTCTATAGGTATTAGAAAATTTTTTAACAGATCACAAACTGAATCAATGAGTAATTGCTAACTTTCAACACAAATCGACTCGTAACACACTTCACTAGGGCTTTAAAAGCACCTACTCTTGATTGAGTAGGTAGCCAGACAACTACGAACATAATTTATTGACTCTTACACATTGGTACAATAAGGAAGAATAAATTAACGAAAGTCAGTTGAGATTATTCACTAAACCAGAGTGATCCATAACAGCTGACTAACCAAAGTGAATCAGAATGCTTCTCACTGAAGGTTTTATAAATATTAAATTGAGAATTAACTGTCAACCATAAGACCTAGGCTTGAAGTCTAGCCAGCTTAGTTTAGTTTAGTTTAGTTTAGTGAGTCGGTGGCTCAGTCGGTAGCGTCGCGGACTTCGGGCCCAAGGCAGCGATGTCGTGGGTTCGGATCCTGGTCACTGCCGATAACATTTTATCAGTACAGTTCACCTTTGTACTGTACCGGCTCACTCCTTGCTTTGCTGTTAACGATCCACGCACGGGCGCTTAGTCTATGTGGACGGGCAAATGCAAAGTTAAAAGAGGCCGCCAACCTCTTTTTTTTAAAAAAAAAAAAAAAAAGCTTACCAGTCTGATTATAATGCATCCAGTTGAGCATGATCTCAGGTGCTCTGTACCACCGAGTTGCTACGTATCCGGTCATCTCATTCTCGGTCGGCCGAGCCAGTCCAAAATCCAGAATCTTCAACTCGCAATCCTCATTCACCGCAATATTGGACGGCTTCAGGTCCTGTCAAACAAATATTCATTAATTTATTCATTAAACGGTTATAACCAATACAGTGAAAATACATTGTTGTGCATGTATTAAGCAACAACCAAAGATCAATAGTAAATATATGTGGGCGGTTGTTCAATAAGTTAATATACTGTAAATAAATTACAAGCAACAAAAAATTAGTGCAATAAAGAAACATACAACAGCTACAAATTTCTGACTGTCCGATTTGCAGAGGTTCACTGCAGAAGCCTCTGGACTTCTGGACTTTTTTGAAGGAGTTAGCTGAGAAAAAGAAGTTCAACCGACGAGCAAAAATTCTGCCAAGTCTTAGAAGTCGTGAAGTAGCATGGTGATAAGCATAGTAAAAGGGCTCGTACCTTCTCCCGAAGATGGTCCCGGAACGTGTTCCTCTAGGGATTGTGAAGTCGATGCCAGACAAGAGAGCAGGTTTACATGTACAACTTGACAAACTATCATTCTAAGATTACACTTGATACTCGTACAGTTATTTGCTACTTAGCATAACCATTGACTTTTTGATTCTACTGTCAACAGTCAAATACATAACCAAATACTTGGGCCAGGTTTGCTGTACATTTCTCTTCACAGATGATTAATATTTCAAAAGAGATTACATTTTTTTCTAGCATAATAAAATTACTTGCAGGCCATAGTACACAGAAAAAACACCATATTTCGTCCCTAGGAGACTACTTACTCATGTTTAGGTATTTGTTCAAGGAGTTTAGGAAGTGTAGATGAATCCAAACACCCCTCTTTATACTTGTCAAAGTCAGGTTAAGTGTAAAACAGAGCCATGTGGCCCTAACTTTGCCAGTTTAAATAAATCATTTTCAATTAATTCAAAGCCCTTTAAGAGATATTGTGTTGTTTGTGTCTACTACATGGTTTAGCCAATACACTAGCTGCAACCCTTTTATTCTAAGAATCACAATCTTAGCCTTTCCTCAAACAAAAACAATTTACTCTGAACTATAACTAGTCAAATAGTACAGTCGAGTCCCGCAAACTCGGCACTCGATAACCCGGCAGTCTGGATAACTCGGCCATCACCTGGCTCAGAAAATTAGTGATTTTTTTAGTCCGAATTAAACCTGGACTCAAGCCAGATCAAGTCAAATCATTTGCAGCTCGTACCAAGGATATGTTGTGCTATATCTGATGACTTAATACTAACTTGTAACATAAATATAAATAAAAGAGGCAGTTTAAAAACTTAAAAATTGTATTGTTCTTATTTTTTACCCTAGTTCCCGATAACCCGGCATTTCACAAACTCGGCACCCTTCCAGTCCACATTACGCCAAGTTTGCGGGACTCTACTGTACAAACAATTTTGACAACACAACAATTTTAAGGGCTCACAAAAAAAACACATTTTAACCGTGGATCGTGAAAAAAAAAAACGTAGTGGAAAACTGATATTCACCAAATGGCAATTTATTGACAGTTTTATGATTCCAATGTAACTACTGACCCTGTGAATGATTCCTGCCGAGTGGATGTACTTGAGGCCTCGAAGGATCTGGTAGACGAGGAACTGCACGTGGTCGTCGGAGAGCTTCTGCGTCCTCACGATGTTGTTGAGATCTGCTCCCATCAGATGTGTGACTAGATACCTGTCCAAACACAACTACAATCACTTGAGGAAACAGTATAAGCTCTAGTCTTGTGGACGACGTTGAAACTTTTCTCATATTTGATCTTTGGACCTTTTAATTTTGTATAACTACTACTTGGCCAGATTATTTTTTTTTAATCAGTAGGCCTACTAGATCATAGTATCATCACTTTCTATTAGACCTTTTGCCGTTTTTGTGCATATAGTCCCTCAATGAATTCAAATCCTATGTAGTTAATCCGGCACATAGATGTTGGAAGACAACCTCGATGCCGATGTGACACACGCAGATATACTGTACAAGAAGTCACCGCAGTTAATGATTCAGGACGCAGCGCCAGAATCAAGCTTCAATGTCAGCTGTTAAGAAGCTGCATCGGCTGCAAACACCTTACTATGTTGGAAACAAGAACGAGATTCGACAGAAGACATACTGTACTTTTTCTGTTTTCACCATGTAAATAATACAGTACAATGATGTGATCTTAGGCCGACATTTTAGATGACCTTGGATGCAACAGACTATGTACAATTAATCTTTTGTTAAAACTTCATTCTGTAGTATTATAATCCAAATGGGCCTATTTAATGGTTATACTGTTACATTGTATAACAATGATAGTTTAAGCTTTCAATCCAATACATTACAAATTAGCCATTATCTGAAATCCGACATTTTTGGTACTGGAGTAAAATAGCAGATAAAGTAATAGTGTCGGAACACCACGTCAGTTCCGTACCTGTCCGAATATCGAAGGACAACTGTAAATGTAAAATGGAGTTTTCCTTCGATAAATAAATAAAATGTCGCAACAATCCAATTTTTGATTAGGAGAATCCAAAATATCCTAAAATATCCAAAATATCCTATCCTGTCAACGATCTTTTTAGCATTAGAATTTTAGCCAAATAATTTCAACCAATATCAGCTAAGTTAATCTTTGATAACAAAGCTACACAAAGCATTCCACCCATCCCACTGATTTTTCATTCCTCGGTTTTAAAATACTAAGCTGCTTCGACTAATTTTGGGGTAATTGAACCAAATAAGAATAAGCCTACTGATTAGATTGAAGACTCATAAAGTAAAAGAACAGATGAAACTAAATGTCAAAGCAAAAACTGACAACAATTAATTACGCTTATAGAAGTCCCAAGGGTCAATAATAGGCCTACTGTAACAGATCTACTTACACTTGACTGAAATCTGCTAGGCTAGTGGAAGGGTGAAAAACATCTAGTAGTCCAATAACCTGAAACAGAAAAAAATCACTACAGAATGATCATGTCCTACCTACACATCCTAGGACGCTAGTTCTAGCCCGGAACTGTTTTACACATTACTTCAGGATAGTCCTACAGGGTTGCGGCATTATCACTTAGATAAAATCTATCGGGGATTCGCAGGATTTGAACCCGGGACCTCGGGCACCAAAGCGCTCTACCACTAGACAAGCTCATTTCCCAAAGTACACTAAAGTTAAATAGCTTATTCCCCATATGGGAAATTCACTAAGAAGGACATGTTCGATCCTAACATCCACATTTTGATGGGTTTTTATAGTTTTTTCTCCTAAACAGTAGGATAATTTTCTTTTAAATGGTAATAGCTTATTCCCTATATAGGAAATCAATAGCTAAAAAAAATGACGTTAAGTTAGTTCATATGATACCTAAGTTACTCACATTTTCATGGTTCATATGCTTCAACATACGGAGTTCCCGATATGTTCGCTTGGCATGGACGGCTGACTGAAATGGGCGAGCTAACTTTTTAATTGCTACTTTAGCTCCATACTTGTTGTCTACAGCAGAACTGAAACATTCAAAATAGCTTAAGTCAAGTCATCAGTATTTGAGTGCAGACTCATATGATTGCCCACATATGATTGTACAGGCATGGCGAGACTGAAGCAATGTTCAAGTCTGGTTGTATGGAAAGAATTTCAACACAGGAATATCAAATGTAGCCTACAAGATTGATATTATTACCACAATTAGGCCTACCTAGATTACACAGATTGTCAACAAATCACTTTATTACTTACTGGTGTCTTCAGAGCATTTATTGCTTGGTTTTCAAACTTAAGATCATCAAAGCCACATTATGTTAAAATGACATTTAAACACAATACACATTATTAGAGGGACAAAAACGATAACTTCACATTCTAGACACCAAACCAAATGCACTGGCAGGCTATGACCCAACTGATGACTCAGTTTCAAGGTAACCTGACATAAACTAAGTTAGATCCACCTGTTAAATGGGTCGATAATCAATTTTTCCATATTATGTTGACAGATCTTAACGATGTACAGTTGAACTATGACCTAATTGATTGGATTTAAATGTAATCTTAGGCCTATGTCAATAATGGAAATGTTAGGCTACCATTATATTATAGGCCTACCAACTTAAAGAAGCGCAAACACCGGAGTTTGGAACACGTTTTTACAACAAATGTTCCTAACAAACCAAGAAACACTACTTTTGATAAAGAAACATTTTTATGTTTGGAAGAGTTTTTTTAGTAGGTAGGTAGGTATTGAACTTACAACAGAAATTTTGTTTCCTGCCAGAAGTAGGTAAAGATCAAAGGGTGTGGTTTAAACATGTGTTTCTGTAGGTCTACTTCTACACTGTTTACAAAACTTTCCTACCACCTCAAGTGCCTACCCATCACTTGACTGTGTGCCACGCCCTCCGCGTCAGTCCTCCCGTTCCAGTCAAATATTCAAAGCCAATACTGGACATTCTCAAACATGTTTTGAAACTCCAGTCCATCCGCAGCTCCCCCAATGGAAGGTCGATATCATCTCTATTTGCATGATATAAATTAGCAGTTCATTGCCACTGTTTTAATCAGGATTGTGGTGACTTTCTCACCCAGTAGGCCTACCATCTCGAATCTCTGTTGGTTGGATAGGATCACACACGCCCCCGCAGCCAGTAGGCTAAAAGATCATCTTCTTTGATAGTAATCTCAAGAAGGACTGACCTCATGTCCTTCAGGAACGGTAAATAATGTTTCAAACAAAATCCAAGAGAAGTGCACTGTCTGTTGTAAACTTTTGGTACAAACGAATTAAGTTGCAAAAGTTCCCAAAATTTGTTCCAAACTCCGGTGTAGGCCTAAGACAACATGATGTTAAGTAAATAACTTGGGATCATGTGAATTTCCAACTTTTTGTAAGTTACGTCTTACAGGCCTAATTAAAAATACCTACCTAAGTTAACTATTTTATTTCAGTAAGTTAACCGATGATTCAAAAATACATAGATTTGTAAATAAATTGGTCTGCTAATGGTTTCAAAAGATTTCATATGATGATTGATAACAGCCATAGACCGAACACATTATTGAATAGGCCTGGCCCAGATAGGTTTCTCTGTTAACTTTAGATATAACTTAGGTCGTCGAAAAAACCTTCCTGTTTTGTTGGTATGGTAAGCCTGAGTACTGGCATTGTTTAAACATGTAAACAAGCCTTTAGAATAAGAACTCTTTTAGGAGAGTGTGTGTCCTCTGTTAGGCCTGTGACAGGTGAGATGAGCTAAAATGGGTTACTTAATTTCTGGGCTTAACTTACCTATAAAGCCTTCACATAAACACCAACTAACATTAAGTTATGCATAAATCATGCTTGGATTTATACACAAAGTGTTTGGAAATTGCCATTTAAAAAGGGTTCTCATTAAATATCCTAAAAATAAATCAGAGTTGTTGTTTATTCAAGGTCTTAAAACTTACAAAAATAATTCAGCTTACCAAACTTGGCCATATGCTCCAGAACCTACTGGTGTCAGCATTTGGTATCTTTCGGGGACTTCCCATTCTGTTCTATTGATTTCTACTTTATAAAATTCAGGCATATTGATACAAATTCTAAGTAAAGTGTACAACTACGAAAGACTACGATTTCTCTTACAACAAACACAGCAAACTGCAGACACTAATCTGCCATTTTCAAACTGACAGGTTAGCCAACTGAGAACAAAGAACGTACAAAAATAATTATGGATTTTGCCCATGCATACCATATATAGTTTAATGAAACAGTTGAGATCACCGAGTTATGATTTTAAAACAAACCATGCTGCATATATATTACTCTATCCAAGGGCAGTAAGAAAAAGTATAAACAACTTAAATATTACTACCTAATACATATATGCTCAGTTCATTATTGAATTAATTATTTCAATTTCGTTGACTTAGAAAAATTTGATGTGTTTTAATAATGCATACAATGAAATAAAACGCAGACAGTTTATGGAATACACAATAATTGCAGACTGTTAACTATAAAAAAAATCACATGATGAGGTACTCATTCATCCGGCATTCTTGATTGGTGTCTTTACTGCGGCATCCTAATTTTACAAAATTATGTCATTCGCGAGTCCCTTCACATGTCTTTCATGCCATCACTTCAGCGTTTCCCAAAATGTCACCTGACAGGAAAGTAGAGAATGTAATAATCTTCTTGAGAAATACCTATCCAGTACCATAGATAAAACATACTAAGATAAGAAGAGAAGATTGAGGGAGGACCACAAGGTTGTCACTGTCATAAAATATCATTAACACATTTTACTGTCAGACGCAATGCTCGACTTGTGGCGGACCGGCGTTCCGGTACCTTTGTTTCTTCTACCCTATTTTACTTGCAGTTGCAGATGCAGACTAGCGGATTGAACCATGACCACCTTTAACTCCAGGTCGCGGCCTTAGAAGTGGCAACGTCGCGACATAGATATAACATACTCCTGTCCCGAGTAGTGCTTTCACAGCTGTTTTGTTTGGAGGCAGCTAAGGGTATTTTTTTATAATATTGAAGCTTGGTTTCTGGGCTATGAAAATGTTGACCCCACTTTAAATGTACAGATTATATTGTTATGGTTTTCAAATACTCTGCAATATGTTTCCTTGGACAAATCTGTCCCTGTTCCCACCCAGACAACTTATTAAACTCTAAAGGCAGTTTAAGCAAGAAGGGACCTGCTCAAAACAGTAGTTCTCCTGCTTTAGCACAGTGATAAGTGCAGGGCCACAAAATGTGATTTCCAAAAATAAAATTACAAATCTATAGGTCATAGGAGACAAGAAGATACCTTGGAATATTTGGTATTTTTAACTGGATTTTTAAATGACAAGTTTAAAACAAATTTGAAATTGCGGAATTGAATTACAATTGTTTTCTAAACCATCATTTATAAGATACTAGCAGAGTACCCGTATGGGGTTGGCAAATAAGTATAAAATGCTTATTGCAGTTATACCCAATCTTTGCGTTTGCGATGTGAGAAAACACGGTTTGAGAAAATTTGCTTCCTCAAATTTACGGTATGCGATAGTATTACACATCTACCATAGCCATAATGTTCTACTACTTCACCTACACAATAAAGATAGATTATTAAAAATTCGCAAAATATCATAAATTATTCATGAAATTAAAAACATAAACACAACTGTAAACAATCCTACTTTGACAGTTCTCATTGTGTATCACAGTTTTTTGTTGCTGCTTAGTTCAAATTAGCTGTTTTCATAAATAATGAAAAAAATAATAGTGCTGCACCCTGTTGGTAAATCTTATAAATTTTTAATGCTTTTGCATATCATAGAACCAACTCTTTTAGTTGAAACAGCTGGCTAAATTCTTTAATTCCCTTTAAATATGAATACTCATAAGGTTAACATGGGGAACTGCAGAGCCACTGCGGCGGAGCCCAAAAGGATTTTTGAGATAAGAATATGCCTATATATTAATCGGGAATGTGAGCTATCATCATGCCAAATTTCAGCCCAATCCGACCAGTATTTTTCGTGTTTACTTGTCACAAACATACATACATCCATACATCCAAACTTTCTCATTTATAATATTAGTAGGATTATTGAAAATGTTCACTGTTACACCATGTGGTTCAGATACTAGCATTTTTGCCGAAACCAACATTTAACAAAATTACCACTTTTAGTTTTAAGTCTCACATTATTTGACAACCAAGCATTAACATTTATAAATATATATACATACAGTACCTAAACCAATGAAAATACAATTTTAAAATTAGTTTTCAACATCTGTTTGTCCTATCATCTTCAACAAGGTGCTGGCCGTTACACTCCATTGTGTGGGATGCCTCGAGTCACCTGATAGTGAATGTGTTCAATAACAGGAATTTAAGGTTAAGAAATAAATTTTATTCTCTTAGCCTAGACATAACAAGCACATCAAGTAAAAACTCAACAGTCGTTTATAAATGCTTCAATAAATAAAGTCCCAGATCAGTTAAGAGTTAACGTTGCTGGCGGGGGCAGTCTCCATGGCAGTGGGAGCTGATTCTTCTTCCAGCGGGGTTTCCAAGATGCGGGGGCCATAAAGCAGCACATACGCACAATGCCAGTCACCTACACAAGCCAAGGTAAACATATTATGTCAACCTGTAGATCTTTGATAATTTCATTCAATTATTACTTTACTTGTAGAGAAAAATGTAGTTATCACCTGTGCTAATTACCAATAGGAATCAAAACAAGATATAATACTCAAGTTGAAAGAATCTACGCCTTTTTAGTTGGTTTTTAAGTCAATTAATTTTGATCAGCAACATAGGGGAGGCACATGCAATGACTTGGCGAAAAATTACAGCTAATGCAAGTGTTTGGTAGTCTCGCCTCAGTGGCGGATCTAGAACAGTCACCAGTTACAAGGGGGGCTAACCAGGGGATCTGGGGGTTCGGGGCCACCCCCCCCCCTCCCCGAAAAGTTTGCGTAAAATAAGTCTCCAAAATGCGCTCCCCCTCTGGATCCGCCATTGTCTCGCCTTGATTCCTTCCAAGGAACTGCACCCCTTAAAACTTTAGGGTTGTTTTGGTAATTGGAACTGGTGTTGATTTGCAAAGTAACTTCTGTATTGCGCTGACAGAAACATAACTAAGTTTCACACATTATGACTGACTCAAAGAGATGCATGAAAAAGACACTCAAGTTAAATCAAGAAATGCTACAGAAAAGCCTTTTATGAGGCTTATGTAGCTTAGTGTTATAATGCCCTTTGTCATTGTGTTTGAATAAATAAATTGATTTGAAACACACTTGATGGAGCTAACGCGAGATTGTGTGTAGCAGAATTCTTCATTACTGAACTGGGTTTTTTGGTATTTCACTGACATTATTATATATACATGTTTTTAAACTAGGTATATGTATGGGCTACAACAAGAACAAATACTACAACTTAAGAAGCTAGCGCTCAGTATAAACAATTCTATGTTTCGTCGTAACATGTGCTTATTTGTACATTCAACTATTTTATCATTTAAGGTGGGTTTTCCTGGCTGCTGAATACGGCTGTGGTATTATGAATGACCTTGAGCTTTTCAGTTGTACGTTACAACCCCTGCTGAATTCAGTAGCCAAGAAAACAGCCTTGCCTGACCCATTTGCGAGAGATTGTACCGAAAAACACAGCCGAACGCATAAAGTAAACCTGCTATTCAATCTAACTATACCAAAATCCATAAAACCTGGCCTTAATCCTTCTTTACCAAAAAAATGATAAATGTTTAAGATACTGACCGCCTCCAGAGAGCTTGAGTATGTCCTCGGTAGTGACGGGAGATACTTGGTCGTCGTCACACTTGAGCCACGTGTCGCCTCGCGGGCTCTGTCGCACCCACGCGACGTAGTGTCCACTGCTGCTCGACCTGCCTTTGTGCGTCAGCACGGCCTGCAGTGTGTAGAACCCTGAGTTGTTGCTACCCAGGTCTGCGGAGAACACAGACATTATAGGCACTCTAGTTCTGTAGTGTTGGAAACATTTCTTGGGCTACTCTTACTTTTGGCTACTCTAACTCAATGTTTATAACACTGAAACGTTTTATGGCACTTATGAGACTATGAATACCTGCATTTCCATCCTGTTGATCAGTTGTGTGATGAAATCATCAGAATGGAACTGTAGAAACTGCTATGTTTGAATATTTTAGATTGTATCTGACTAGATAAAACTTAAAATTTGCAAATGTGCATTGTTCTTAAAAATTAGGGAAACTTTTTTTATCAAGTAAAATACTTCTGTTACTGTATAGTCAAGTTACCACAGAGTTTTTAACATGAAAGATACTCTACCTTCAGGGAACCAATATGGTTCCTTCTTCCCTTCTTTCTTTTTCCTATCACCAAGGGGTCCAACTTTTTTTAAGTTTGTCGCATCCTCCAATTCTTTATCTTCTTGTTCCTGAAAAATTACAAACATTAAATCAGCGCTTAGTTTAACAATTTTAAACATCCATGATAGGTAACTAATATATGATTATATATGTTATATGGCATATTATTTCCTTCATAAAACACCTATGATTCTTTTTAAGGTGGTAGGTAATCCACAGTGAAGTAAACAGAGGAAACATGCTTATGGAACAGCCGTGCACTTTTAGCTCTGGAATGCCTGGGGCTGAAATATTATAGTACAGAGCAAGGAAGAGCCCGAACAAGAACAGTTGTAGCGTACAGGCTCTTCCTCCAGCGTGAGCGCTATAATACGTGATTCCGAGTGGGGAGAGGAGAGCTAAGGGGACGACCAATAGAATTTGCACAAGACATCAGAGACTGGCGCTAGACACAACTTAAGTGTACCATTGAATATTTCCTCTGTATCTTGCTTTTCTGTGGGTAATCAACAAATCTGCACCATAAAAACAGTTGCTGGATTTCTACCAAATAAAACTATGATATTTAAACCTTGAGTTTGTTCTAAAAAAATTTCATGATGGTAATCACATCACCATGGCTAACTACTCAAAAAGTGAGTGTACATAGTTATCATTTTCAAGTCTCACCTTAAAACGTGTCCTCATGGGGATGAGCTTTTGTTGCAGTTCAGGTGAACACAACTCAAAGGCATCAAAATCAATGGGGAACTTGATGTCTTTCAAGACCTTGGCGTTAATTGACTCCTTTTCTTTATAGAAGAATCTAACAAACTGCACCGTTAAGTAAGCTGGTAATCTTTTTACTTTGCTCTGAAAAGAAAGAAATATCGTTTACCTATTTACATTTCTTCAAAATTATAATAGATTTCTTAAAAATTGTAGAGTTTAGGTAAAAAGAAAATTATAAAATTTTAATTTGAAAAAGAATATTTTAGGCCTAAACCATGTATAAATTTTATTAAATACTGATAGTTACGATGCAGAAGCTTGAAAGATAACAGAGAGGGAATGAGGTAGAGTTTAGGCGGGGGAAATGAAGTTTGTAAGAGGTAAAGGGAAAACAAGATTGGGTGGAATTAGAAATAAAGAGTTGAGAAGAAAAATAGTTGAAGATGTTTGAGAGAATGAGTAAAGAAATCGAGATCGAGATGGTTTGGCCACTTAAAAATGGAAAGAATGTAAGCTTTACATGAACATAAGAAGACCAAGAGGAAGAACTAGAAGGTGGATTGGTGGGGTGAGACGAGATGTGGAAACGAGAAGAGTGCAGTGGCAGTATGTGGTGGAAGAGTAATTGTGGAGGAACAGAAGAAGATGGAGAGGCCCAGTGAACCAACGGAGATAACCAACGGGAGAGGATATGTATGTATGTATGTATTTTGAAAAAGTGTTTTACACTAAAGACATTCTAATAATCTTATCCAACCCACTAGAATACTTGGATTAAAAAATGTAGAACGTTACTCACTTGTTACTCTACTCTAAGAGTATTCTTTTAAAATGTTTGTACAAAGTATGTGAATATAATGTAAACCTTTTTTGCTTATTTATGTAGCTATATTCAAAGGACTTACAGCTCTTAAGTATTGAGCGTCTCTGTTCAGGGTCGGAGAGTGTTTCGTAATTTGTTCTTGTAGTCTCTGCAAAAAGAAAAACACATTTAGGCCTATTATATAATTACAGTTCTTCTGCAAAATTGACAAAAAAATGCATTTTGAATTTTGTTTAGTTTGTAGTTATATGTTATTTTTCTTAACATACTAATCCTGTCATATAGCTCTCGCATTGTCCTTGAGCGAATTACAACTGTCATAATTTTTTAACCTTTCCTATCTGTAGTAAGCGAAATATTGGATTTTGTATAAATTAAATCAACTGCTTAAGTGTTTGTCGTTTTAAATACATCCAAAACACAATCTAGTACACTCTTCAATACACTTAGAAACAAAAAGGGAATTCATTTTCCCCACACAACCTCTTGTTATCAAACTTCTACCCTAAACAAAACGGATAAAACTAACAGTTTTCAACTAGGCAATGTTTGATCAACTTACAGTTTTTAGCCCCGACATCATGTATTTGACTTCTGTGCTGATAAAGCAACTGAGTTGTAGAAAACTCTCTGAACTGTGACTCGGAGGTTCCTCGGGGGCTTCTACACACTTCATCTCTACGTCAAACTGTCCACCGAAGAACTGGTCGATGACTGACCTGTCACAACAACATCTGTTACTACACAGTGAACTAACTGATGATTGGAGTTAGTTAAAACTCTCCGTACTGTGACTCGGAGGTTCCTCGGGGGCTTCTACACACTTCATCTCTACGTCAAACTGTTCACCGAAGAACTGGTCGATGACTGACCTGTCACAACAACATCTGTTACTACACAGTGAACTAACTGATGATTGGAGTTAGTTAAAACTCTCCGTACTGTGACTCGGAGGTTCCTCGGGGGCTTCTACACACTTCATCTCTACGTCAAACTGTTCACCGAAGAACTGGTCGATGACTGACCTGTCACAACAACATCTGTTACTACACAGTGAACTAACTGATGATTGGAGTTAGTTAAAACTCTCCGTACTGTGACTCGGAGGTTCCTCGGGGGCTTCTACACACTTCATCTCTACGTCAAACTGTTCACCGAAGAACTGGTCGATGACTGACCTGTCACAACAACAGCTGTTACTACACAGTGAACAAACTGGTGATTGGAGTAAGTTGAAACTCGTCTATTCTTTTTTACCAATTATAATGAATGGACAAAAAGTTTAACACACATTACATCAAGTAGCTACAGTTATTAATTGTCTTATATTAAAACAAAACGAAGTTAGAAAAAAATTAAGCTGTTAGTCTGTCCAGAAAAAGATAAATTTCAATTACATACGTCATGAGATAGTGTTACGTCTAAGAACATTGAAGGTTGATCAAAATTTGAATTAGAGAAACACATCGGGTCTACCAAAAATTTGAAAGTTGAAAGCTCAGTCACAGTAGAGCATTCTTTTGTCACACGAAAAATTGTAGCCTCTAGCTCAAATTACCACAGAAGGAAGATCCTAGAAGTCATTGAAACGATGATAATTTTACTAAAAAGATCAAGTCGTTGATTTAAGTAACACTTAAATACCAAATTTAGAGAAAATCAAAGTCAAGTGAACTCAGGAAAGCTCTTGAAGCTTCGAAACTTGTGGTCCACAGTGGCCAGCGAATGCTTTTATGTGTTGAGTTAATTGGGTGTGTTGCTAGTCTTGTAGTTAGCGTTTCGGACTTCTGGAGTGACGAACGGGTTCAATTCCCAGCACATCCGCAAAACATTTATCTCTAGTTGACCTCTCGTGAAATGCCGCTGGAGTTGAAAAAAAATTAAGGTAGTAAAATTGAGCTACTGACTGATCATCCTAATGTTACTGATTTCTCACGAATAAGCCAACTTTTGCACAAAGCTAAACTGAAAGGACAGATTATTCTAAGCTATAGCATCTTTGATGTCACATCGAATATCACAGGAACATGAAAAAAATAGGGGATAACTGAACTATAAACCGTATCACACTCTGCGAAGAGTTCATTTTATTAAATATGTGAATGAGTACTCAAACTTACGTAAAAGAAGCTCGGGCCTCTTCTCCGTCCAGTTTAACGGCTGGAAGCTTCTGTTGTAACATTCTAATCATCTCCATCCAACACTCGTTGGCGTCCTGTAAAGAAGAGGTGTTCATGAGTTACCAACCAACTACAGTAGTATGTTGTGTTAGAAGATAAATTTAAAATACAGCATTGACATAGTAATTGAATATGATTAATCGGTTGAACAGTGTTCATTCATACTATAATTGTTTGTTCAATATTCGATGCTCCTGTTAAATTAAACAAATATCAAATTGATAGGAAAAACTTTTATTATTTTCATTGTTACATTTTTTTGCTTATCTGACCATACAACGACTGGTTTAGGTTGGATTTTCAGATTGATGTTTCTAAAATAAACAATCAGTAAGCAAATGATGACTATACATTAAATTACTTCAACTATTCATTTTGTAAGCAATGTTGTCAGTTAGGCTAACCTGCTGCATGAAATTGCCGCTATCCCCCTTCTCAGCGAAGCGTGGGAAGGCCATGTGCATGACTTGCAGCAGTATGAGGGGAGCGATGGATGGACCTTTGTCCATGGCGGAATACAAGTCTCTAAGAGCTCCGGTGATGGACTGGGCTGGCAGGTTGTTGCTGATGGAGACACCTTACGGAAACAAGAATCTTATTTCAAAAATATCATATAAAGCAAAATATTACTCTATGCAATATAAAGCTTGATTGAATCTCTACATATGCACCAAGGGAAGATAATCTTTCAGATTACATAACTATCCTTGTAGAGCTTGAGGTCCAGAAATTGTAGTTTCCCCCCCCCCCCCATCTTGCATCTCTTTCTCTCTTCTACACACACTTCACCTCATTTGTAAACCTTTTTCTTGCTTTTCCTCTGTCTCTTTCCCACTGCCACCATCAACTCATTTTCCTTAGATTTCTTACTTTGCACATATCCAAACCATCTCAGTCCTGCGATTTATAGTCACCCCTAGCAGTCTTCAACTTCTATTCTTTTGATTCTCATTAAGGATCTTTGATTTGTATCTCTACTCTGATAATTTCAGATAAAATATCAAAACTGAGCTGAAGTGATTTTAGACAAAGAAATAAATGCACAATCAAAAGAAAGGAAAATATGTACATTAAACAGTAAGAAGAACAATTATAGCAAAGACTGTTCTAAAATCCCTTTGAAAATTACATACAGGATGTATACAATTGTACTCTGTGTAAAATTTGCTAAATTACTAAACACAACAAACCTCCGTCAAATTTTTGAAGGGCTTGTCTCAGTTCTGGGACTGTTTTCAGACACTGAACAGTTGCATTCATGTAGCATGTGTTGCCAAGATTGGTCAGTCCAGCTGGTAGATCCATCTGCAAAATCATATGTTTTTTGGTGAATTCCCCATATATGGAATGTAGGTCAATTGATTGATTGTGGCAAGGTCCCCAGAGGCCAAAAACACCATCCGTTCAAATTCATAAATATTTATATATGTGTCCGTTAGTACGATAACTCAAGCAAAAACTATCCAATTCTGAAACAAATTTGTATTAACGTTTAAACCCAAATGTATTCCAAAAATGGTCTCGAACCAGCATAATCGGACTATAGGAACATGGTTTTATTGGGTAAAAACTGTGTGTATTCCCATTTTTGAGCATAAAACCAAAACATAAAATTTAGTAATATTGAAGCGTTGTTATACGCTTAATTGTTAAGAACATTTAAAAAAAGCTAAAAAATTTTAATTTTAAAATTCCCATGTTAGTCTAATGGAGAAACTGTGTAAGTTAGCTTGTTTATGACCAAGAACATCAATTATTTCATACTAAACTGATGAAATAAATTTTACACAAAAACACTTTATTACCTTCCCTGTAGCAGCTAACCTAAGTATACTCTTAGAACTAATGTTATACGGAAAAAACATGACAAATTAAGAAGATTTTAGCAAAAATCCAATCGGGTAAATGGAAATCGCTTAGTTCTTCGCAGCTTTGCTGCGGCGGTGATATTAGTATTCTTAGAGTTACGTATCCCGATGTCAACATATATTTTGCAATGGTAATATTTTTCAGAATTTAATGGAATACAAAAAATTAAATTATAAGTAAGTTGTACCTATACAAATTTAAAGGTGTAAAATTTTAAGTCACCAAAAGGGGAATAAAATTATTAAAATTAGTTGACCTAATTGAACAGGATATAAACAATTGAAAAATATTATCTTGATAAGGTAAAATGAATAGCAATCGTAACTCACCGCTGTCGCTAATTCTGCTTCATTCATGTCCTCAACAAACACTGGTTTGACCGTGGGTTCTGTGGGGACGTCTTCTTCTTTACTTCCCATCATCAACACCATAGCGCCCTAAAAAGAACATATTTAAAATAACAATACGTTCAAGAACACTTACATTAATCAATACCACACAACATATCTAAAACTGGGATCGGAATAAATCTTAAACCTGATTACAAATGTGAGGTTGATTTATGTTGATCCTGAATGATTCCAAAACTGAGAAGGCTATGATGTTTAAGATGTTTTGGAAAGACTTCCCATACAATTGTCTGTTACATTAATCAAAAGTAAGTTTATGCTACATTTCAAGGTTCAAGGGTCAAGGTATAAATACCCGACAAATTACATCAACTGGAACAAACGCAACAAATAACTGTGTGCACTCTGATAATACAACACGTGTCTTATGGCCAGTGCACATTCCATTAGTTTTATTTCGTACGGTATAGGCCTACTCATTGATTTTAAACATTGACATTTTAATCAGAATACGTTCAAATTTAAAGAGTAGGCCTAACCGATTCTTATCTATATTAGCGGTCGTTAGTTACGATACGAGTATATCTTAATATTTTGCTTAGATTCAAATAGAGGTTTTAACAAGGTAAACTGAGTTCTTGGACTTTTATTATTTTTGGATTGTTACTCGCTTAAAAAAATATTTAAAAAGAGGAGAAGGATGAATAGGGGTGGTGAAGAAGACGTACCCCCTGTCTTAAGGAGAGTGGCGGTGAAGAAGAAGGTAAAGGTAAGGTAAAGGTAAAGGTGATGAACTGTGGTATCTCCATTACTAAAAGTCAAGCGCTGGCAATAGATGTATTGGTCTAAATAGGTTAAAAAAGGCCTCAGACTATTTTGTAGAAGCAAACCTTTAATAACAAGCACCAACAAGCACAAATGTACAAGTGATGGTTGTCCATAAAAGCCACATACTGTGTAAACACAGCTTGTCAAAAGGTCCAAGCATTTTGCAAGACTTTACTTACATTGTCCAATTTGATGTTTCCCCAATCTGTGTCCTTTAAAGTCTGACCTTTGACCATCACTTTCTGCCTTTCGGGCTGTACACCGGTCAGACAAAACAGCTGAGCCTTGAACACCATGGGATCTTCTCCTGTGTTCACTTCTACGTCCTTGTACAGCTCTTTTCCCCATTTCACTTTTACTAGAACATGAATTAATTTAATTCAGTACAGGGTTTAGCATTGGGAGTGAGATGGTATCACAATCAGAATCAGAAAAGCTTTATTCAAGATTTATACAATACTTGAAATATATGAATAGATACAGAATGGCGACAAAACAGCTTATTACTAATTAAAAATACTTGGTTAAATAAAATAATTTCAATAAAACAGGAAATTTAAATAATGTAATTACATGTCGTAAAACTCTTCAAATGACTAAAATGCTCTATCAATCAGTAACAGTTTAAGTTTTTTTGAAAATATTGCAAAATACCGACTTGACACGGCTCTCCCCGGAAAATCGAGAATTCAGTGATACCACGAATGTTGACATTAACTGTAACTATGAATTACATCACGTAATAGTGATAGAATCGTTTAAGGTGGCGGTTTTACAAATAAATACATTTAGGCCTACTGTACTTTAAAACCGAACAATTTAAACAAGCTTTTTGTGAAACTGTATTTTCTATTGCTCAGACAAATAACATTTTTAGCTTTATGACCATCAGCAATTAATTAGTTTTCTCTTTTTTCTATCTTTGACTCATTGAGGCTAAATACGGATTAAAGTTGGTACAAAATAGCTACTTGTCCACTTTGTAAATTTATTTACGCTTGGAAAACCAATCCAAAACTCCATAAACCAATGCGCATACACAAATAAACATATTTTTATACTAGTTTAAACGCAGCCTGACGATGGAAACCTAGTTTCCGAAAGCGCTTGTGAATTAAACATATTATATATTGTCCTGTTTTGAACATTTAAATTTAGTTATACATTTCATTAAATAAACATGTGCCGTATGTTATATAAGACAGAAATTTATTAAAAATAAAATACTACAACATACCCCCGCCACAACAAATCTTCCGACTAAGCAAATTTCCATTAACTGACTGAATTTCTACTCAAATATTCTCCGAAAGTTGTCAGATTTATTTCCTATTTAAATAACATTGATTTTAATGACTACCTAGGTTTGCTGCTACAGGGAAGGTATTGCTGTGTGTTTTTTATTGAAATATTGATAGCTTAATCTTAATATAAAATAAACAAAATTGCCAAATTTCATTAAAATATATCCATAAACAAGCAAACTACAACAGTTTATTTATTCTCCATGAGAATAACATGGGAATTATAAATTTAAATGTTTTTTAATTATCTTCGCAACCGTTAGGCATACAACAACACTTCAATATACAAAATAATTTCTTTTTTTAAGCTCTACATAAGGGTTTGGAAATAAATTGTGAATTTTTTTGTTTTTATAGTAAAAAATGGGAAAGCCCAATTTAATTTTTATCCCATAAAACCCGGCATAAGCCCCGTTCCCATAGTCTGATCATGCTGGTTTGCGAACTCGTTCAAATGAACGTAGGTTTACACGTTTCTACCAAATTTCATCAAAGTCGGATAATTTTTGCTTGAGTAATCGCGCTAACGGACAAATATATATATAAATTTGAACGGAGGATGTTTTTGGCCTCTGGGGACCTCAAAACGAAAAAGTAAATCGGTCCCGGGTCCAGGTCTGGCCACGAGTACAGTACTACGGTAATAGCTTATTCCCTTTATACCCTACATGGGAAATTCGCTAAAATAAAAGTCTTACTTCTCAATTGAATTTTCAAAGCAAACTTTGAACACTGGAAGAGTTCATGGGAGCTGCATTTTAATTTTAACCCTCACTCAGCTTGGTAAAATATGGGACACTGTAATATAAATTAAAAGACCAATTCTGAGAAAATGGTTCAAAGAAGGTTGATTGCTTGGTCACTTTGTGCACAACAAATTTTCCCAAACTTGTTTTTCAGACTCGATTTACGGCTTTCACTATTTATAGAAAGGTCTAAATTATTCATTCTCCATTTTTATTAAGGTTGTCACCGGTTAAAAAAACCGAAATGGACGTAGTTTAAGTGAGCCACAGACAAATGGCTGATGTAAATTAACTTCTGCCAAATATGCAGTCTTTATATCCACGTAAAAACTATTGGGACGATTCATCATACGCTATAACTTAGCACATATGAATTTGAACGGATGGGGTTTTTGGCCTCTGGGGACATCAAAGCAAAAAGTAAATCGGTCCAGGGTCCAGGTCATTACCATGAGACCTACGTTAGGTAAAAGCTTATTCCCTATAATAGGAGATTCGCTAAAATTAAAAAAAAAAAAACATTGGTTGTCTGTCAATGTTTTTGCCTTGAAACATCAATATTTCAGGCCTATTTTCGCCCTGAAAACATTGATGTTTTTTGCATCAAAACAATAGGTAGGTACCTAGGCTATATTGATGGTGAACATCAAGGCTTGACCTATCAATGTTCATCTCTTATTTGTTTTTACTATATGTTAAAGTGGTCTATGACGGTCTACTCAGCTAATTTGACGTTTCGGTAGGCTAAGTTAGTTCAACAAGTCTTTTGTCCAAAAAGTCTCGACTAGGCCTAAGTTTAAGCAGGTTCTAATATGGAGCTAAGTAACTCTAAAGGGTACAGTTTCTTAACTGGGCTATGCTAATATCAATTGAAACTAACATCAAATTAGAAATATTGATTGATAATTGATATTTTTAAAGATATTTATTATAAAACTAAACTATCATAACCTAACCTAACCAACCAAACTTGCTGATGGTGAAAAAATCGCACGAAGGTTTACTAATCGAATCGATAGTTTCAATCGATATTAGCGTAGGCTAAGTTAGCCCAGTTAGTGTACCCACCCTAAATTTTCCTTAAACTTCAAATTTTAAAATTTGGCCAAAAAATGTTTTCTTATTTCTTTCTAAAATTAAATTAGGCCTAAGTTAACCTAGGCTATAACTTTAGATGCTAACAGGTTATGAAGCTGATAGGCCTAATAAGATCTAAACTCTCAAGGTTGGCGTTATCTCAGTATGGTTAATCAATTGTGTTCAATTTCTTTCAAAATATTAAGGTAGGTAAGCTATACAATTACTCAGAGATCTCTTAAAAGTGCTGCATCATGCACAATTCTAACCTAGAAATTTTACTTACCCTTGTAAAGAGGCATGGTTAGTGATCTGGCACAATAAATTAAATCTCCGATGATATTTGTATGAAAGATTTGTTTAAATTACAACTGTTAAACACGATGAACGTAAAACTAAAGAAGTAACAATTATTATTTAAATTTTCAATGAAGATTTCTTATTCTTGAACGAGCCTTGCAGGGATAGCCTAGGGTTCACTACGATACTCGGACAGAATACGATTGAATCGATCTATCGAGAGTCTGCAATTTCACTATCGATATTGAATCGTGTACACTATCGATATCGGAAAATCGGATTCGAGTTTGTTGTTGGATCTGAGTCTGTGAGTATTGAGTTTTCAATTTCAATCGGACTCAAATCATCTACTCAATCCACCTCTACAACCTTACTGTACAATTTGTTTTTCAGGATTAGTTTTGCCGACAGTGTCATTTGGAGGCTTCTGAATGACTATAATGAAGGTTTACTAATTGAAAAATTAGTTTTGTTCGTAAAATAAAATTATAAATGCCTCAAATTCAATTTTATATTTTTTATTATGAAATTAAACGGTCATAACCTAACCAAACGTGCTGATAATGAAAAATCTAATGAAGGTTTATTAATCGAAAAAATAGTTCCGTTCATAAAATAAAATAATAAATGCCTCAAATTCAATTTTATAGTTTTTTAATTATAAAATTAAACTATCATAGCCTAACCAAACTCACCAGACTTGCTGATAATGAAAAATCAAATTAAGGTTTAATAAAAAAAATATATTTCTGTTCATAAAATAAAACTATAAATGGCTCAAATTCAATTTTAATTATAAAATTAAACTGTCATAACCTAACCAAACTTGTTGATAATGAAAAAATCCAAGACAAAAAATTAGTGGTACGGGTAGGATTCGAACCCGGCACCTTCGGCTTATCAGCCCGGCACTCTATCCACTACACCACCGAGGCCTGTTATGGTCCTCAAAATATGAAAAGAAGTGCATAATAATACCAAATGTTTAATAAGGTGTATAATAATTCTAAACAAAATAATACAACCCCATTGTTGGTTTTTAATTTTAATTTTTAATTGCTGTAACAGTTGCAGTTCAAGTTAAAAGCCTTTAGCACCATCTGTTCAATTCATATACAGTAGAACCTCGATAACAAGTCAACCTTGATAACAAGGGTTATTTTCAAATCCCCTTGGAATTATTTTACCCCTAATCATATGTTATTGCAAACCTCGATAAGAAGTCAACCTTGATAACAAGTCTTATTTTATAATCCTTATAAGTCTTGTTATCAAGGTTCTACTGTAAATTATAGCCTATACCATAGATAAAACATACTCCCTTAAGACTTGTGCTGCTTAGTTTAGTCTATGCCTATACACATACTGTATAATTCAAAGTCAAAATTAAGAGTCAAAATAATCCAATTATGATGAAATTTGTTACAAACGTGTAAAACAACGTTTGTTGTAGCGTTCCGTTAGCATAATCGGACTATGAGCAGAGGTAAAAATGCTGGGGTTTCCTCATGTTTGACCTTATAAAAACTTAAATAATTCATTAATGTTAAAAAAAAATTTATCAAAAAACATGAAAATAACTTGTTATAAATTTTGAAGTAGATTATTAGGTAAACTTGTTGGTTCTATTTTGGCTTGTTTGTGGATATTTGACTTTAATTTTAATTTTTTGTACAATTCAATACCAATCTAAGTACATTTTACCGAGAACACACTTTACCTTCCCTGTATCTTATAACACTATATCAGCAAACATAAATATTTTAAAACAAGAGAACAAATCTTACATTGAAATGGGTGATGAGTATACTACACTTTTCAGTACCTACCGAGCTTACAAGGCAATTAAATATTTTTTAAAGATTTTATTGATGGAAAGACTTATTTCAAATAATTATATTCCCACTTGGTGTGAACAATTTAAGTTTTGTTGACTGATAGGCCTACTATGATTAGTGCACTTTATAATCAAGCTTCAACTTTGTACTTGACTGTGTGGTAATTTATAATAGAATATATATAAAAGATAAATAAAATAAATAATTAAGATGTTTTTGTAAATAATTTAAATTATATATAGTTAACACAAAACGATAAGAGAGTATTTTAGTATTTGTTTTGATAAAAGAAGTAAAATATCAATAGGGTTATCCCAATCGAGAGGGCTCTCAATTAATTATTTAGTTTTTATTATTATATAAAATAGTTTTTCTATCATTTGTGTTCACTTATTTACATTGAGGACAAGAACACAAGAATGCAATACAAGAATACAAGAAGAGTACTTTATTTTACAATTTTTAAGATTGAAAAAGGCATCAATACAATATGTTATCGATTAAAAATCTTTGTTGATTGGAGTAGTTGCAGTAGAAAGATGATTTAACTTGTAACGTAGTCACTCTAGTTGCTGCCAAGACAAATATTCATCAATGCTGTAGAAAGGTCTAAGTAACAGCACCTGTGATGTTCCTTCTTCAGTCTTCTAGAACAGAGAATGTTTACATGTTATTAAAATAAGGAGGCTCGTGTAGGATGAATGAACAATTCTCCTCGGCTAGACTGCAATGTTAAAACTTTAAAGTGTCTATTTGGGTTGAATGGAGCATGTTCTCGAGAAATTAACATTTGCAGACAAACTAATGCTAAAATTCATTGAACATCCACAACATTTTATTCACTTGTATTTAAGTACGAGTTAGATAGCAGTTTTCTAAATTAACATAATTTAATAATTAAAATGTCCCTTTTGACCAGATTTATTTCTACCTCAAATCATGGTTCTCTCAGTAATTAACAGATCAACTTCACTTTTTTTATGAACAAAGACAGCTCATGCTTATGGTTTACAAAAAATATAACCCATACCTATTTTAAAATCAAGACTAATGCAGGTTTTTTTTAGCAATAGCAATGGTTTATCTGTATTAGGCTTAAGCCTAATTTTGATTTTAAATAGTGCCGCAGATGCTTTTAATTTATGATCACATTACCTTAATCAAATACCTATATTTGCATGAAATTGGTTAAAGCTTATATGCCTATTCTACCAATGTTGCTGTAACGTTATATTTTATCTTCCAACTAAATTAATTCTCAATTTTTTCCCACATTAAAATACTATAATGCAGTGGGCGGTTCCAAGGGGTGGAGGGCTGTAGGAGCAAGAGCCCTCCCCATTAGAATCTGACTCTGGAAATATAAGTTTAAACATAAATTTTGTCATAAATAGGTGACAGAAGTTTTGGAACACAGTCCGAGACGTAAAAACAGTTTTAAAAATAGCAGATTTTCCTAAGGTGAACCCCTGAAACCCCCTCCTAGTGTTAATCACCCCTGTTAGCCCTTCACAACGTTCTAATCTAGAACCACCACTAATATGACAACCCTACATGGGATCAGAGGCTGTATAGAAAATGTTACTACTATAAATTTACAATTTAAACAAATAAATGTCTTACCTGTTCACCGCTGGATTTATTTATTACGTAATAGAGAGATCTGTGACCACACTCCAATGCATTTTACGAATGTTGGTTAGAGGTACGCAAACTTGAAATCTGACTAGGCCTAGAGTCGGTTGATTAGGGTATGAACCTGCAAAAACATTAAAAAGCTTATAGTTAATCAATTTTAAAACATCAATCTACAATTCCAAAGAGAATAGCTAAGATATTATCGATGGAATAACTTATTACATAATATAGCCTAAACTATCGAATAAACTTAAAATATAAATATAGTAAGTTTAATCAATAGCCTATTTAAGTTATGTAGGCCTATAAGTTATTGAATTTCAATATTGATTTGATGTTAACTTATGAGGATTCTCAAGTAGATTATCGCCATTGACTATAATATATAAGTTAGGCAGGTAACTTGTATGTAGTAGGTATATATAACTTAGTCAATATTATCGCCCACCAATCTATAACAGTGTGCTGTATCTTTAAAATTAACTTGACTTAGGTTAAGTAGCTAACAAAACTTACAAAAAAGGATACGATTACAAATTGAGGTCCAAGTTTAAATTTATTTGTTTAAAAACAATTACTAGATATAGCATACTTATCAACTCTTGTGTGTATACAATTTACTTACAGTAGGCCTTGTTTGTAATTATCTAAAACTAACGTACCGGTAACTTGAACTAAGCCAAAGCGAAATGTTAGGGTAGGCCTACTTTGGTATTATCCGGAGGCCAATTATTTTAGAGAGATTTTTTACTGGAGAGTCCAAAAATAACTACATAGGCTACTGTAATAGGAAAAAACCTGCTTTAATTGACTGACTGTCCAAATTTGACAAGATTACAATTAGCGGCCTTTGAGTTCTGTCTCCCAGAAAAAAAGGCAGTGATGTTGGCGAGGATTGAGTTGAATGCGTCGCTGCCGCTATACTCCGCCAAGTAGGTATGCAGCACGCTGCGGCGGTCATGATAGGTTGGATTATCATAAATATGTTTATAAAACTTTCCTCGTTTCGTTATGAATTGAACTATACCAAAAGAGTCTTACTTTTGCCCGCCAAATACCCCAGATACTGGTGGTAACAAGTGATGAATGCTCCGGTCAATGACCTGGCTAAGTACTTGAGGGGATATGGCGTGCAAAAGTAATTTATGACTCATCTGGTATTATAAGAAAGTATAAAGTATAAAGTATAAAGTATTGTAAGATTCATAAAGAAATTAGGAAAGTCCTGCAAACAAACATATTTGTGAAAACCAAACCTAACATAGGTAACTGCGCTGTGTAAGGGTGGCCTCCGGATAATACCAAAGTACCCAACTTAACCGCCACAGCACGTGTTAACGAGTCTTTTTGAAAAGCATAAATAACTTAAATAAATAAGTTATTCAAGTTATATCAAGTGCAAACTTCGACTGATAGGCCTACGATAGAAATATTAAACTGAATTTCCATCTGATAGTAACTTAAGTTAAGTTAGGCCTAGGCTATAAGTTAGGTTCTCTACAGACTTGTAGGCTACCTATCGATTCAATCGCTCTGACAACTGCAAAAATTGCAACTAAGCAGCATCTTAGGAAACGACTTAAGTTAAGTTAAAATTTCATAACTTTAATGTTCTTAAGAAACCGATTAAATCTTACTGATAATCCTAAAAATGTTTTCAAACTTCATCAAGTCCCTACGTTAACCTTATT